TAGAGAGCTACAGAAGTTTCGATACAAAAATCGAATTGTGTGTGTGGTCGAGAGGTAAGAACACTTGCCTCACACACAAATCCCCAGTTCGATCTCCGGCCGAGAAGCGGACACTTTTTGTAAAGTAGAAATTCATACTCGGATACTGGATGTATGTCCGTTGTCTATAAATGTGTAGCCTTCTCCTATATATGGTGCCTAGAGGTAACTTTAAAGATATAGTAGGTTGCATTACTTGTGAAGTTTAATTTAGTTGACTTCATTTGACTTTAAAATAGGAAGAGTTTTTCTTCAAATTTTCTCTATGATTATGGCGTACGGCGACCTCACGCGGAAATTAGAGAAGTAAATTTCTATCCACAAAGTGATACGTTACTTTTAACAGAAAAGTATAAAAGTACTTCGTCAGAAACTACAACAGAAAACAGAAAATACAAGATAATAGAAGTAGAGGTGTTTCAAAATCTTATGAGCCGTGAAATGCGCAAAAGCCGGAGCTTATTCCACGGTATAAGTGGAGTTATGCCTCTGCGCATATGAAGGTCAAAGCTCATAAGGTTTTGAAATACCTCTACACTGATATTTTGGTTAAATCACCTACTATATTTGCTATACATATTCAAAAACCTAAAAAATACATAGCGAAAAGTTCTCCATTGACTTCTTGGCACATAAAAGATCGGTTACGAAATTAGTGCTTTACATTTTTAAACGTTTCCGAAGTAATATTTTTGCAAGAATCTGTTATGCGTTGCTCTAGTTCTTTAATTGTTTCTGGCGAAATTCTGTACACTTGAGCAGGGCTCGCTTTAGAGGCGGACAACCCGGATGCCTGTCAGGGGCGGCGAACCTGAGGGCGGCATTTTCGCCCCCCTGAATGTGAACCAAATATTGATAAATAAATTATTCTCAATTAATATAAATTTTACACTACTTGTTGATTTTTTCCCTAACTAAAACTAAGTACTATGCAATTTACATTTGATATTTGTGGTTTGTTATGTTTTAAAGCTAGAAAAATATTAAACCACCTTTTCAAAAAAAGCATATTTATTTTTGAAATAAAACAAGACGTATAGTTAAAAGACGCGCATGACCCTGCATGAACTTGTAGGTATATAGTTACTTGTTTAAAATAGGAAATGCAAGACATAACATGCATGGACATGTTTTCGCGCCTTACTATATAAAGAATCATCTAAGCACAATTGTGTTATTATTGCAAATGCGTCGGTGCCGGTGATAACATATCCTTGAAGTAAGTTTATAAATACTAAAAATATTTAACAGTTTAATTCGGTATAGTGACGTGTGTTTTGTCAATTTCTAAAGGTAAGTACTTCTGCAAATACCTGTATTAAGTGGTAAATAATTATTTTCAAAAACATGTTCCACAATACGTACTTACACATTTTTAAATAGTTTCTGTATGTTTGTTGTGACGGATTTTTATTAATTTATTTGGGGTTTTCGCTGCGAAAAATGAGAAACAAAATATCCATCTTAAGAATTCAAACATTTTAGATAGGCATCTATTTTATATATTTAGTTTTTTTATGTTCATTGTGGTGGTTTGCAATTTGTCCATTTTGTTGGGATCCACCTCACCTAAAAAATCCTACTAATTAATAAATTATATTTTTGTGAAGTAATAAGCCAATGCGTTGCATAAAAAGATAAAAGAAGAAAAATCCTCAAATACGATTAGTCGGTGACGGTGGCTTGGTCAGGCTCACAGTTTAAAAAAATGAAATGCCTAGTTTTAATTACTAAAAGTATTAACTATTTTTTCCAAAAGAGGGGTTGAAAATTAGCCCAAAACTTTAAGAAATTCATTTTTATATTTAAAAATAGTTTAAGTAGGTAATTAAAACTAGGTGTTTTATTTTTCAAAACTGTGAGAGAGACTAAGTCACTGACTAACTGGATTTTAACATTTTTCCAATATTTACTTTTAGCTTATTTTAACTAGCGTATTTTGCATCGTTTAATTTGTTGTTTTAGAATGTCTGATGCGCAACAAAAATTGTCCGGCCATCAGTACAAAAAGCGAACGCTGGAGAAGGAACAAGCTGGTGCTCTGCACAATTATTTATAGGGTAAGTCCGGTAGTACCATTAGTACCAAAACAAATATCTCCAAGAATTTAGATAAAAAGGAAAACACGGAATCACCAGAGAGTGTTGGTGACCAAGGCCAATCAATAAACGATATTTCTAAACCAACTTTGTCACCATATGAAAGCAGCCTACCAACTGACACCGCCTTGGCACTTACAGAAGGTACCTTGGCTAACACAAGTAGTACTCTACCTCTACAAACTGACCCCACCCTCCACCCACGGAATGCACTGTACAAACTTTAGGTACAGATGCAGCATTGTGGCCCAGAATTTTAGGAGATGCCGAAAGAAGTTTTATAGTACGACAAGATCCATCTAAACCATTGTTTAATTACAAATTTCCTTATGATCGCACTGGTCGAAAATTTAGCGCAAATTACTTTTCTCGAAATTTAAGAAATGGAGAGCAAGTTATAAGTGACTGACTAGTGTACCCTACTTCAAAAAACTGAATATATTCCTTTTGGTGCAAAATTTACGGCCGTGTGTCAAGTTCCCTTTCAAAAGAAGATTTTAAAAGCTGGAAGCACATCAAAAAATTCTATCTGAATTTGACCCCGTCATAGAGGAACACGTGCGTAGAGTGCTTAAAAAGTGGAAACCAAAGCTCACTATCTTGGAAAATACATTCAAAACGAGATAATTGACTTGCTTCATGAAAGTGTAAAATCGCATATTATTGCTGAAATAAAAAAAAACGAAATACTATTCCATAATATTAGATTGCATTCCTGACGTTAGTAAGGTGAAGCAAATGACCCTGATAAATAGATATGTTTCCATCAATAAGTCTGACTCTGATTCAAACGATGTCGAATTAAAAATCTACGAAAGCTTTTTAGGTTTCTTACCTGTGGAAATATCTACAGGAAGATAACTATATGAAATTATAATTGAACAGTGAAATATACGACGCTTTGCTAAGCGTTTATGAAAAACAAGACATCGATATCTGAATAAGAGACGAAGCTTCGGGTTTGCTAAGTTACATTAAACAATTGAAATTTTTATGTTCAATAGTCATATGGTATGAAATTTTAAACTGTATTAATCCCATAAGCAAGCTTATGCAAGTAAAAGATTTTGGTTTGAAAAAAGCACTTGATCTTCTAGAGAACTGCAAAAAATTATTTAAAATCCTCTTTCAATGAAATTATTGTTGACGGAAGAGAATTGACTGATGAAATTAACATTGAAACCAATTTTGAATCAACAACGCCGCGACATCGCGTAAGAAGAAAAAAGGCCAACTTTTCATATGAGGCAAGAGACGAACCAATCGAAGATCCCAAAGAAAAATACAAAATGGAATTTTTCTTCTATACTATTGATCAAGCATTAAACGCACTAGATAGTCGATTTCAACAACTGAATCACCATAGTAACCATTTTCGAACTCTATATAATATATATGATTTGAAAACCATGCCTAAAGAGACACTGATAAAGACTTGCAAAGATTTGGAAAATGTTTTGTCTGATGGTGAATCAGCTGACATTAACGGTCTAGAATTAGTAGAGGAAATGTCTGCAGTTTGTGCACTTTTGGGCAAAAAAAGAAAGTCCAAGTGATGTTCTTAAAATAATAACAATGCTAAATTTTGCTCCAAATCTTAGTATTGCCTTAAGAATACTACTGACTATTCCAATATCAGTAGCAAGTGTAGAAAGAAGTTTTTCCAAATTAAAATTAATCAAAACTTTTTTACGCTCAACTACTATGCAAAATCGACTAAACGGCATGGCGATTTTAGCAATTGAACATGAAATTGCTGATCAAATAAACTTAAAAGAGGTAATGAAAAAATTTGTAGAATTAAAAGTGAGAAAAAAAAATATTATTCTGATTATAACTCAAACAAACAATGTTATTACTGTGGTTCTATGTATCTACCTTTTGTGTTCTATTTTGGTTTTAGGTATAAGTGAGAAAAAAATCTAAACCGTAATGGTGGTAAAATTTCACCCTGTATGTTTAACACTGAGTAAATATTTTTAAAATAAAACAACAGGTATCTATAAGTACTGTAACTCTATTTTATTTTAATTTATACCATTTTATACCAAATGTTAAGTTTTAATATTTGTTTCTTTTTAAATATACGTTTTATTGCAAATTAAAACCATCCTTTATTAATTTGTTTTTTGTCTGGGGCGGCGTAAACGCCAGAGCAGTCCCTGACTTGAGGTTTCAGATATTCCCGTAGGAAAAATCTAAGGGGGGTTCAATCTGGGAAGCAAGCCGGCCATTCCAAGGGACACCTCCTACCAGTCCATCTTCCCGATAAATGCACATTGAGGAAGTTAATAAAAAACCCATATAAATGAGACAGCGTTCCACCTTGTGGGGACATAAAATTTCGTCCTACAACATCCTTAAATAACACTCTTCTCTTAAATTTTCTCTCTCTCTCAAAAAAAAATTGGACCAATAACACGATTACCCAATAGGTCATCCCAAACATTAACTTTTCCAGTGTGTTGTGTATGAGTTTTCACTACGTTATCCAATGTTGTCTCTTAACATATCCATTTAAGAAAAATTTGCTTTCGTCACTTGTTGCTCACTTCAATTTTATCGAAGTCTTTCAGTCATTAATTCACAGAACTGTAATCTGCGATTTAAGTCGTCTTCAGGAAGTTCGTGTACTAGTGTAAGTGCAATTTTTTTTACATTTTATGGATTGTTGAATGTGACATATCATTTTGATCAGCTAGTTCTGCTGTGGATTATTGAGGGTTGACTTGAGTATCGACCAAAATTTCAATTTGTTTTTCTTGTGAGACTGATGGCCTTCCACTTCTTTTGTTGTTATTTCCCACATTTCTTGTTACTTCAAATTATGCTAAGATTAATTTCTAGTTTTAGAAAAAATCCTAGTTCCTCGACCGGGGATCGAACCTGGGACTCCTGCTTTAGAGACAAGTGCCCTTACCACTCAACCACGAAACCATACACCTATCATTAAATAAATTGCATAGCTTCATGGGCATGATTTTGCTATTGGTAAAATACTTTCACGGCAAAAACTCTTTCTATTACGGTACGCATAGCACCAATAAACGTGTTAAGTAAGATGAAAAATTATGTGCAAAATTGATATTAAAACTTTCTCAAAAAGGTGTTTTAATACCTTTTGGGGACAAAACGGAGCACTAGATTTACGAATTTCTAGTTATTTTTTGCTAAAATGCGAAAACTATATGTTTACTTCACGTTATGAATTGATATTAACTTCTCAATGACATTTAACGGGAAGCAAACAAATAAAAAAACAGCTTACTAGATTAACAAAAATAATTTCCAAAGACTATAAAAGAAAAAGTTGCCTACTTGTTTAAAAGAACACAAAACGATTAATTTAACAGTCGCTATTTTGTTTTGGATGATTTTTTTCTGATTTTCTAGAGCCAAACGCAGATTTGAAAGACATTTCAAATGACGTGTCATTCGATCTCCCTTGCTATTTAAAAATTTCTTTGAAGATAACGCCATTTTGGGATATAAGCAATTTTTATATATGTCAAAAAACAGTAATTAAACTCTTCTTAAAGCAAAAAATTATGGCGAAATACCAAGTCGCTTAAAAGTTAACAGAAAGGGAGGGTTACTTTATAGATAGACTATATATCTGTAGGTATAATCAGTTCAAATATTTTGTTTATTTTTTTCATCATGTTTTGAAGAAATAGCTATCTAGAATTTATACAGACAAGATTCTGTTCCAGTTTATGAAATAACTACAACTCAGTGGCAGTGTTTTATAATAAGAAATATAGATAAAACATCTAGTATGATTTGAAGGAATGCAGTTTATGTCAATATTATGGTCAATATAAAATTCCGTTGGCATTAACGAAATCGTATAACTTGCATCTCGCATCCGATGCAATAAATAATACAATAATTATGAGTTTGCCTGCTATTCGCACATGAACCTTTAATCGCTTCCAAAAAATGCCTACAATCATCAATTCTCTTTCATTTTATCTCGTGACAGACTGGATCTGTGTGTGAATGTTTATTTAGACTGAATAATAATAATTGTTTTATTGTGCTGTGTCTTATTCTAGAGATAAAAAGAGGTGGGAAACTTAGGTTCGCATTTCCACTCAGACTGATTAAATTGGTTACGACTGACCTTAATTAATTAACTGTCCAGTTTTTACTGTAGTTCCAATTATTTTATAAAGCCATAGCACTTATATCGCATTTCTAGTGAATTTTTAAACAAATAAATACGGTGCATTGTTGTCCTGTACTTTTGCGATCTACACAGTATGAGATATTTTGATAATACAAAAAAATTAACAATACGTTTAAACTTAAACGTAAACGATAATATGGCGTAGCTACGCACATCAATGTTTCGAAATTATTGTTCCTCATCACCAGTGGAATGCATCCCAAAAAAACGCAACGCAATTACGGACACGGGTGTTTCGTATCAGATACACGTATAGACTACTGTGTACTCTACCGGGTGATACAAATAAGCCTGCCATCCTGATTTTCTCGATTATTTGAAAATAGTTAAAAAAAAATTATAGAACATTTGCTTATAGTTTTTAAAAAGGAATTTTAAAAACAATTGAACACCGAATTAAATTTTTTAATAGAGGTCCCCAAATATTTTTCCTACTTTTTATGATTTCAAATACAGGGTGTAATGTAATATACATAGTATTACACATAATTTTAGCTATGCGTATGTGTTCATGAAATGCTTACTGGACACCTGTAGCATTGTTGTTTTTTAATATAGTGTAGTTAGGTCCTTAGATAAAAAGGGCCCATTGTGGCCTACTTGCCTAGTAAAATAAGTAGCTACTACCACTACTACTACTAAGTAATTGGGGTTATTATTTCAATATACCTCAGTCCTTACTCCAAAGTATTACACAGGGTGTTTCGAAAAGATAGAGGCACAGCTTAGCTGCAAGATATTGATGTCGAATTAAGTCGAATTAACCCAAAAAGTAGGGTTCTAACTTCTTCGTTTCCAATAGAGTTTTGAAGTTGAAGTTTTTATTCATATTTATGACACATATCGCTTAAAATTTGCTAAGGATATGTTTTTGAGGTAGATGATTACAATGATGGTATTACCTATGTCATAATTTATAGAGGGCGCTAGTTACAATACTTTTCGCTGACATTTTAAACCATAACTTGTTTGAAGTTAGATTTTGGATATTTTCTTTCATTATGTTTGACGCGCTATTGAATTCTCTAAACGTCAAGTACGATTTTCAGAAATGTTTACATTTACGAATTACTGGATTGAGTAACATAAAATAAGAAATTAAAACTGATAACAAAAATAATGAAAAAACTGTTCCATTATAATCCATGCTTTTAAAATTCCAATATGATTTCCATTTTACTTTGAGATTCGATACCGTTGTATAAAATTTTGGCATAAATCGAATTTCGCGCATTTCTTGAAAAGGGTGCATCGTATCGTGTTTTAACAAGTATGCATTTTTTGTGAAGAGTTAACTCAAAACGATATTTGCAGCTACGACTTGCTGTCATAACAGGGCAGTATAGTACAGTGTTTTGGTTTTCGTGGAAACTAATTCAGTGTTAGTGTCTTCACATCACTTCATGATTAAATTTTGGTTGTGATAAATGTACCTACGCAATTGAATAAAAATATATAGTAGGTACGTGAACTTGTGTTTATATTATTTCCACTGAGTTGAATCATCTATCAGAAATTTTGTTTAAAAACAAACCTATTATTACATATAAATCTTTCATAATTTCTCATTTGATAAGTCCCGCAAAGCTTGTACCTGTCATTATTAAAAAAATTAGCTTTCTAATTTATTCAGAACTCTTTTTTGGCAGACTATGTAATAGTCTAGGAACACATGTGCAAAAAGCCTCTGAAAATTAATGAATAAGAGGAATCATATGAAAACCAACGATTTTTGAGTAATTGACATCGCTGCGTCCGAAAATGTCGATTGTAGGGTCAAATTCATTTCAGGAATCCAGTAATTCAAGAATGCGTCGAAGGAACCAGTAACTGAAACAAGTGTAAAATTAAAGTTTTATGGTAATTTAGATATCACGCTTTATGCGAGTGTTGTCTTAATTTGTTGTTACAGAATATTGTTATTGCAGAATATTGTTGTTAAATGACCGTGGGCTATCGTGATACTAGGACGTTGTGTACAAGACACACAAGTTCCTTAGTAGTTACATATTTTTTTTCAGTTGTTGCAACGGAACGTTTATTACAACTTGAATTTAAACAGCAGAATGCACCATCACGGAATACCATTGAGACTTGGATTCGTAAATAGCATACTACTGGCATATAATCTAGTAGGAAGTCTCAAAGTGCTAGTACCCTTGAGAGTGTTGATCATCTAAGTTTTTTTTGGGCGAGCATAGATTCGTCTTAAAATGCTCGTATTTCGGTAGGAAAATTAAGCAACAGTAGTCGCAGTCAGTAATGTTGATGATAACCCAAGTAAAACTCAGTGACCTCGTCCAGTTTTCTGGCGGCTTGTACATCAGCGTATACGCAAAATCTATGCAATCTTAGGCGAGGGTTATGTAGGCTATATACCATCTTTCAGAGGGGATTTAAAGCAGTCTGTCTTTTTTTCTATTAGATGTTACGTAAGTAAAAAATCCTTAATCTTCGATCTCTATCGAAGATTAAGGATTTTTTACCCTCTATCCGGAAATTTTGCCGAACCTCTTCTCTAAGAGGTTCGGCAAAATTTCCGGGTTGGAAGTAGCTCGTCTTCTGGCATAGGTGATTGGCCATGATAGCGGAAATATGCCGTCGTTAAATAAATTATCAATTAATTGATTAAAAGACGGAATTTTTTTCATGAGAGGTCCACGACGGTAAATTGCACAGCACGCGGGTGATTTAATTTAAGAAGAATACAGTGTCAGAATTTTTAAGCGTATGAAATAATTTACTTGAAAAAAACAGTATCAGATTTCTGAGGCTTATGAAATTCCTACCAACTGAAAATTGTTTAAGAATTAAAAAAATAAACAATATCGCTTTGAGTTTTGTGGACAATTTCTAAGTCATATCGCTGGAGAACCAAATATCACCCATGTTTATGAGCGATAAAGCACATTTTTACCTAAATGGCCTCATAAACAAAATTATAGGTACTGGGTCCATATAATTGCGAAGAGAATGGACATGATGCAACAACTGTTACATTTGAGATATACTCTCAAATGATTGACACTTTTTTCTAAGCATCAATATGCTGCGTAATATGTTTCCCTGTCGTTTAATTTCTCGCGAAAGGGATATAATGTAGCCAGCCTAGTCACCTGACTTAACAACTCCAGATTTTTATTTATGGAGATTTTTAAAAAGTCGTGTGTAACAATAAACCCTGTAACATTGAAGAACCGAATAAAACATTGCAAACGAACCTCAAGCGGTTGCACTAGAGATGCTAAGCAGAGTAATGGATGATTTTGTACGTCGCTTAGAAGAATGCACAGCAGAGGAAGGAGATCACCTAATGCATTCAATTTTTAAGTAATGAAACTCCTTCAGTTTTAGATTAAGGCGGCATTAGCAGCCCATGGTCGCCAGAATAGCCGACATAAAAATTTAAATCGCTCTTAAAATGTTTCTATTGTGAGATGAAAATGAAAACACATGGTTTATCTTAAATACCATATGGGCTTAATATATAAAATTACAGGCGGTACTGATACGTATTTTTCTATTACTTAGTAGGAAATACGATTATTTTATTTGGTGTCATTTTATGAATCTAAACAATTTATTCCTAGGAATAAAAAAATACACATCAGTATTGCATGTAATTTTATAAGTATATTAATTCTGCAGTATGTGTATTAACGTATTAGACATAGTACATTGAAGGAAGACTGAAAATTTACATCATATAGCACGTAGTGTGCACTATTGGCCGCATGACAGCGAG